GCTCTTGGAAATAAAGTACGTTTTCATAATAAGCAGAAGTTTCCTGTCCAGGAGTAATTTGTGGACCAGTGCGTCAGTCTTTAGACCCTTGCGTCTGCTTCAGTCGCGCCATCGCTGGAATGAATCTTCAAGAATCACCTTAGTTTGGCTTCGCTGCTTTTCCCCTTGTCTTCTTCTTTCAGCGACCTCAAAAACGGACTTTCTTTTGCGGCGAACTGCTCCTGGATTCTTGTCGCCATTGCAACAAACTTTGTGCGAACTGCGAGGAAGATATAGGTCAAAAAAAGCCGCTAAGAACTGTTGCGTTGGTGGAGTAAACAGCGTCTGCGTGCGTCTTGGACTGTGTGACAGTCGTACGTAAACCACGTACCGGCGGCGCAGGCAAGTCAGTTACACTAGAAACGTAGGGAGTTTGATTGACAGCCTGTCAGCTCACAGATAACGAGGCAGTGTCGTTATCTATTGGCAAATGTTTAGCCCCACCACGTCCAGAGTTGATGAATTTTTATTCTCTTTTTTTTGGTCATCATAATTACAAGGCGACTGCATCTATAATCTATCACTGACAATTTGAAACAAAAAAAAAATAAAAAAAATCCTCCATACAACCTTTAATGCAGCAGTGCAAAGTCCAGGTGACTGTGATCCTACTGGTGGGCGTGTTTCTTGTCCAGGTGTTTCTTGTCTGATGGTACATTATTCTGAGGACAGTAGCGCCACATGAGGCCTGTGGCGAGAAGGGGCGTGGCCTCCTGTCACCCGCCGGACGCAAAAGCTCAATAACAACACTGCAGAAATGTTCATCAGTGACCAGTGAGGAGGTGACACTTCCACTGAGTCTCTGCTAAAAGATTCTTTCAGTAAGATTAAAGTGAGTATTTGGTGGGATAATATCTGATTTAAATATAGACCTGGTTTAGTCCTGGTTTAGTCCTGGTTTAGTCCTGGTTTAGTCCTGGTTTAGACCTGGTTTAGACCTGGTTTAGACCTGGTTTAGTCCTGGTTTAGACCTGGTTTAGACCTGGTTTAGACCTGGTTTAGACCTGGTTTTAGACCTGGTTTAGACCTGGTTTAGACCTGGTTTAGACCTGGTTTAGACCTGGTTTAGACCTGGTTTAGACCTGGTTTAGACCTGGTTTAGACCTGGTTTAGACCTGGTTTTAGACCTGGTTTAGACCTGGTTTTAGACCTGGTTTAGACCTGGTTTAGACCTGGTTTTAGACCTGGTTTAGACCTGGTTTTAGACCTGGTTTAGACCTGGTGGTTTAGACCTGGTTTAGACCTGGTTTAGACCTGGTGGTTTAGACCTGGTTTAGACCTGGTTTAGACCTGGTTTAGACCTGGTTTAGACCTGGTTTTAGACCTGGTGGTTTAGACCTGGTTTAGACCTGGTTTAGACCTGGTTTTAGACCTGGTTTAGACCTGGTTTTAGACCTGGTTTAGACCTGGTTTTAGACCTGGTTTAGACCTGGTTTTAGACCTGGTTTAGACCTGGTTTAGACCTGGTTTTAGTCCTGGTTTAGACCTGGTTTTAGACCTGGTTTAGACCTGGTTTAGACCTGGTTTAGACCTGGTTTAGACCTGGTTTAGACCTGGTTTAGACCTGGTTTAGACCTGGTTTAGACCTGGTTTAGACTGGTGGTTTAGACCTGGTTTAGACCTGGTTTAGACCTGGTTTTAGACCTGGTTTAGACCTGGTTTAGACCTGGTTTAGACCTGGTTTAGACCTGGTTTAGACTGGTTTAGTCCTGGTTTAGACCTGGTTTAGTCCTGGTTTAGAGTCCTGGTTTAGTCCTGGTTTAGACCTGGTTTAGACCTGGTTTAGTCCTGGTTTAGACCTGGTTTAGTCCTGGTTTAGTCCTGGTTTACCTGGTTTAGACCTGGTTTTAGACCTGGTTTAGACCTGGTTTTAGACCTGGTTTAGACCTGGTTTTAGACCTGGTTTAGACCTGGTTTAGACCTGGTTTTAGACCTGGTTTAGACCTGGTTTTAGACCTGGTTTAGACCTGTTTTAGACCTGGTTTAGACCTGGTTTAGACCTGGTTTAGACCTGGTTTTAGACCTGGTTTCCTGGTTTTCCTGGTTTAGACCTGGTTTAGTCCTGGTTTAGACCTGGTTTAGACCTGGTTTAGTCCTGGTTTAGACCTGGTTTAGACCTGGTTTGGACCTGGTTTAGACCTGGTTTTAGACCTGGTTTAGACCTGGTTTAGACCTGGTTTTAGACCTGGTTTTAGACCTGGTTTAGACCTGGTTTAGACCTGGTTTTAGACCTGGTTTAGACCTGGTTTTAGACCTGGTTTAGACCTGGTTTTAGACCTGGTTTAGACCTGGTTTAGTCCTGGTTTAGACCTGGTTTAGACCTGGTTTAGACCTGGTTTAGACCTGGTTTTAGACCTGGTTTAGACCTGGTTTTAGACCTGGTTTAGACCTGGTTTAGACCTGGTTTTAGACCTGGTTTAGACCTGGTTTTAGACCTGGTTTAGACCTGGTTTAGACCTGGTTTTAGACCTGGTTTAGACCTGGTTTTAGACCTGGTTTAGACCTGGTTTAGACCTGGTTTAGACCTGGTTTTAGACCTGGTTTAGTCCTGGTTTTAGACCTGGTTTAGACCTGGTTTTAGACCTGGTTTTAGACCTGGTTTAGACCTGGTTTAGACCTGGTTTTAGACCTGGTTTAGACCTGGTTTTAGACCTGGTTTAGACCTGGTTTAGACCTGGTTTAGACCTGGTTTAGACCTGGTTTAGTCCTGGTTTAGACCTGGTTTAGTCCTGGTTTAGACCTGGTTTAGACCTGGTTTAGTCCTAGTTTAGACCTGGTTTAGACCTGGTTTGGACCTGGTTTGGACCTGGACCTGGTTTAGACCTGGTTTAGACCTGGTTTAGACCTGGTTTTAGACCTGGTTTAGACCTGGTTTAGACCTGGTTTAGACCTGGTTTTAGACCTGGTTTTAGACCTGGTTTAGACCTGGTTTAGACCTGGTTTAGACCTGGTTTAGACCTGGTTTAGACCTGGTTTAGACCTGGTTTAGACCTGGTTTAGACCTGGTTTAGACCTGGTTTTAGACCTGGTTTAGACCTGGTTTAGACCTGGTTTAGACCTGGTTTAGACCTGGTTTTAGACCTGGTTTAGACCTGGTTTAGACCTGGTTTTAGACCTGGTTTAGACCTGGTTTAGACCTGGTTTAGACCTGGTTTTAGACCTGGTTTTAGACCTGGTTTAGACCTGGTTTTTAGACCTGGTTTAGACCTGGTTTAGACCTGGTTTTAGACCTGGTTTAGACCTGGTTTAGACCTGGTTTTAGACCTGGTTTAGACCTGGTTTTAGACCTGGTTTAGACCTGGTTTAGACCTGGTTTTAGACCTGGTTTAGACCTGGTTTAGACCTGGTTTTAGACCTGGTTTAGACCTGGTTTAGACCTGGTTTTAGACCTGGTTTAGACCTGGTTTTAGACCTGGTTTAGACCTGGTTTAGACCTGGTTTTAGACCTGGTTTAGACCTGGTTTTAGACCTGGTTTAGACCTGGTTTTAGACCTGGTTTAGACCTGGTTTAGACCTGGTTTTAGACCTGGTTTAGACCTGGTTTAGACCTGGTTTAGACCTGGTTTAGACCTGGTTTTAGACCTGGTTTAGACCTGGTTTTAGACCTGGTTTAGACCTGGTTTAGACCTGGTTTAGACCTGGTTTTAGACCTGGTTTAGACCTGGTTTTAGACCTGGTTTAGACCTGGTTTTAGACCTGGTTTAGACCTGGTTTAGACCTGGTTTAGACCTGGTTTAGACCTAGACCTGGTTTAGACCTGGTTTTAGACCTGGTTTAGACCTGGTTTTAGACCTGGTTTAGACCTGGTTTAGACCTGGTTTTAGACCTGGTTTAGACCTGGTTTAGACCTGGTTTAGACCTGGTGGTTTAGACCTGGTTTTAGACCTGGTTTAGACCTGGTTTTAGACCTGGTTTAGACCTGGTTTAGACCTGGTTTTAGACCTGGTTTAGACCTGGTTTAGACCTGGTTTAGACCTGGACCTTTTAGACCTGGTTTTAGACCTGGTTTAGACCTGGTTTAGACCTGGTTTAGACCTGGTTTAGACCTGGTTTTAGACCTGGTTTTAGACCTGGTTTAGACCTGGTTTAGACCTGGTTTAGACCTGGTTTAGACCTGGTTTTAGACCTGGTTTTAGACCTGGTTTAGACCTGGTTTTAGACCTGGTTTAGACCTGGTTTAGACCTGGTTTAGACCTGGTTTAGACCTGGTTTAGACCTGGTTTTAGACCTGGTTTAGACCTGGTTTAGACCTGTTTAGACCTGGTTTAGACCTGGTTTAGACCTGGTTTAGACCTGGTTTAGACCTGGTTTTAGACCTGGTTTAGACCTGGTTTAGACCTGGTTTAGACCTGGTTTAGACCTGGTTTTAGACCTGGTTTAGACCTGGTTTTAGACCTGGTTTAGACCTGGTTTAGACCTTTAGACCTGGTTTTAGACCTGGTTTTAGACCTGGTTTAGACCTGGTTTTAGACCTGGTTTAGACCTGGTTTAGACCTGGTTTAGACCTGGTTTTAGACCTGGTTTAGACCTGGTTTAGACCTGGTTTAGACCTGGTTTAGACCTGGTTTAGACCTGGTTTAGACCTGGTTTAGACCTGGTTTTAGACCTGGTTTAGACCTGGTTTAGACCTGGTTTAGACCTGGTTTAGTGTCCGGCTATGGGTGGAATTACCGAAAAAAAAGGGGGATTTAGCCCAAACTGTAAAAACAGTTAAATCCCTCTGTGTAATCCATTTATTTCAACAAAGTAACTGTAATCCAATTCACACTCACTGAAACAGTAACTGTAACTGAATACTTTTACTCATCATTTGTACTCTGATTACTCTGGTACATGTAATCTGTTACTCCACAACACTGTTTGTTGATCAGTTTAACATTGGTGCTGCTCAGTTGTCGTAACGTGTGTAATGTAATGTGATGTTATCGGGCTGCGTTGGCTTCCGTTGCGTCTCTCCTCCACACACAGTGTTTACTTTCACTTTGCAGTTGAGTGCGTAAGTTCTCTCATGAATTTCTGCTCATATCGTAGTTTTGTTTTTATTCATCTCTGTAGGAATGGGAAGTGAGAAGACGAGGTGTTTCCCCTAACGTCCAGATTATATGTTGTGGTGAAAATTTGAATTCGCTCTTTTGTTCACGCACTTCGCAGCTGAAAGGTACGTGGCTTTATTTTTTCTTCTGATCGTGAATACTTTTAAACATGTTCCTTTTTTCGTGCCGGAAGTTCGATCTAACGTTTCCAGAAATAATCCAAAAGTAATTTCATTTGGATTTTAGGTTTATTTTTTTTAGTTTGGAGCTAAATGTGGCTACGAGCTAAAACTGTGAAACGGTGTCCAAAAACTACTCGAGTACGAAACACGTTACCCCAGATAAGAAAAAGTACAAAGAAATGTCCTGAGAAAGTAAAAACAAGTAAGAGTAAAATGTGTTTTGGAAGTAATAGTGTGAAATGAACAGTTTGGACATAATTTAACGTTTAATTTGAAATATTTGGAAGCACAAAACATGAAATAATTCAAATTAAACTCTGATATTTTGAGATTATAGCCACAAAAATCAGATAAAATAAGTTACATTCGAAGAAACGCTGCAGGAACCACAAATATTCAAAGTATTTCAGAAGTACAGGTTTTTGGGAGTAACTTTAGACCAGAGGCGGGGACCTGCGAGTCGTGACTTGGACTCGAGTCAGACTTGAGTCACTGTTTGTAGGACGTGAGACTCGACTTGATAAAATAATGGACTAAGACCTGGGACTCGACTCGGACTTGAGAAGCTCTTTTAAATCTGAATTCTTTCTGTTCTGAGTGTAATTATTTACTTGAAGATCTTGTCAAGACATTTAAAAAGAAAAAAAAAGTAACTAAATTAATTTCTACAACTTATTTACTCTATAAATACTGTAAATATAAATATACTATGATTTTTTTTAAAGTACAATATATCTTTAAATTGATATAAATTGCAAAAATCTAAACGAAATTTGGTGCTTTTTTGGTTTAAAGACTTGAAATGACTTCAAGCTCAAAGCAGGCGACTTGGACTTGACTTGGACTTGACTTGGACTTGGACTTGCCTGTATTTGTCTTGGGACTTGACTCAGACTTGAGGTCAAAGACTTGAGAAACTCTTTTAAATCTGAATTCTTTCTATTTTGACCGTAATGATTCACTTTAAGATTTTGTCAAGACGTTTAAAAAGGAAAAAAAAAACTAAATTAATTTCTACAACTCTTATTTACTCTATAAATACTGTAAATATAAATATACTATGATTTTTTTAAGTACAATTTATCTTAAAATTCATATAAATTGCAAAAATCTAAGTTATATTTGGTACTTTTTTGGTTTAAAGACTTGAAATGACTTGAAGCTCAAAGCAGACGACTTGGACTTGACTGTATTTGACTTGGACTTGAGGCATTTTTAAATCTCAATTCTTTCTTTTTGAACCTCAGTGATTCACTCTAAGATCTTCTAAAGACGTTTAAAAAGGAAAAAAAAGAAAACTAAATAAATTTCTACAACTTATTTACTCTGTGAAAAATCATGTATAAATATATTATTTACTAATAAACCAGAACTAAACCAGGACTAAACCAGGACTAAACCAGGACTAAACCAGGACTAAACCAGGACTAAACCAGGACTAAACCAGGACTAAACCAGGATTAAACCAGGACTAAACCAGGACTAAACCAGGACTAAACCAGGACTAAACCAGGACTAAACCAGGACTAAACCAGGACTAAACCAGGACTAAACCAGGACTAAACCAGGTCTAAACCAGGACTAAACCTAAACCAGGACTAAACCTAAACCAGGAAACCAGGACTAAACCAGGACTAAACCAGGTCTAAACCAGGGGACTAAACCAGGACTAAACCAGGAACTAAACCAGGACTCTAAACCAGGACTAAACCAGGACTAAACCAGGACTAAACCAGGACTAAACCAGGACTACCAGGACTAAACCAGGACTAAACCAGGACTAAACCAGGACTAAACCAGGACTAAACCAGGACTAAACCAGGAACTAAACCAGGACTAAACCAGGACTAAACCAGGACTCTAAACCAGGACTAAACCAGGACTAAAACCAGGACTAAACCAGGACTAAACCAGGACTAAACCAGGTCTAAACCAGGACTAAACCAGGACTAAACCAGGTCTAAACCAGGACTAAACCAGGACTAAAACCAGGTCTAAACCAGGACTAAACCAGGACTAAACCAGGACTAAACCAGGATTAAACCAGGACTAAACCAGGACTAAACCAGGACTAAACCAGGACTAAACCAGGATCTAAACCAGGACTAAACCAGGACTAAACCAGGACTAAACCAGGTCTAAACCAGGATTAAACCAGGACTAAACCAGGACTAAACCAGGACTAAACCAGGCCTCGATCAGGTTTTTTTTCTGTATTTATTTTCACAGCTGCTCTCACCACACGAGCTGCTGCCTTTTCTTTTTTTCTTTTCTTAAATTGTGTTTAAACTGTGGGGTCGAGTACTAACGTGTTCTGGAACTATTTTCTGAATTCCAAAAAAATGAAAGAGAAACTGTTCCAGAACACAAGTCCTCAAAGATAATACTCTGAATATTCTCCGTACATGTACTCAGTTACTTCCCAGCGCTGCAAATAAAAAAATAAACTGTATTTTTTCTTAATTAGTAGAAGTTTAATGCAAAGTTCTGATGTAGATGGTCAAACTCTTTTTTTAAAACGCTGCTGCATCTGCTCTAAGTGTTTTTTGGGGACCCATATTTTAAAAGTCACAAACCTTCGCGACATTATTCATAACTGACAAAATAAAGGTGGATTTGAGCATTATTGAACATTTATTTATGTATTTATTGAACAGGGACATATTCATGAACATGTACAAGGCTGCAGTGTAAATGTGACAGATTAAAGCAGGAACGTTCATTTTTCATTACATCTGTCGTCCCTCGGCAGGAAACACCGCAAATTTAACGAAGAAAAAAACAGCAAAAACAAGTGACAGTTCTAAACTAAAAGTGTCCACGGGTCTGGTTTTCCTTTAGCCGCAGTTTCAAGTGGGATGTGAAAGTGTCCAGTGTCGGAGTTTCACTTATTGATCAGGGGCCGGTTAAGCAGAAGTAAACAACAAGGCCAAAAATTCAAGTGAATTCATCTGATATAAAAATGTATTGAACAGATACATATGTACTCTAGTTTATCAAACTGTTGACCTTTTTTCTGGACCATTTTTGGTTCTAAAGTTCCATCTGTTTTAAACAGACCATGAATGAAACATGGAACAAAAATTTTTTTCCCAAATTTCAAAGACCTGAAAATCATGTAAATAAATGTTTGTATTTCATCATATCTTGTGTTATTCCATCTTTGAACTGTTGATGAAGGGACAGGATTTAAAAAAAAAAAAAAGTATTTAAAATGATAAAAATGTTCTTGGAAGGACTGACATATTTTATAGAAATAGTTTCTTTCATTTTGAAGTAATATTAAAGTTTTCAGAAAAAGGCGTCTTGTCGTCTCCGGGTGGAGAGTCTCTGCCTCAAGTGGAGGAGTTCAAGTATCTCTGGGTTTTGTTCTGGAGTGAGGGGAGGAAGGAGCGTGAGATTGACAGGTGGACAGGTGCAGCGTGAGATTGACAGGTGGACAGGTGCAGTGTCTGCAGTGATGCGGTCGCTGTATCGGACCTTTGTGGTGAAGAGGAGCTGAGTCGAAAGGTGAAGCTCTTGATTTACCGTCAGTCTTCGTTCCTCCTCTCACCTCTGGTCATGACTCTGGGTAGTGACCGAAAGGACGAGATCGACGATACAAGCGACAGAAATGAGTTTCCTCCGCAGGGCGTCTGGGCGTCTCCCTTAGAGACAGAGTGAGGAGCTCAGTCACACGGGAGGAGCTCGGAGTAGAGCCGCTGCTCCTCCACGTGGAGAGGAGCAGCTGAGGCTCGGGCATCTGTTCTGATGCCTCCTGGACGTGTCCCTCAGGAGGTGTTCATGTCCCACCAGGAGGAGGCCCCGGGTAAGACCCAGGACACACTGGAGGGACTATGTCTCTGGACTGGCCTGGGAACACCTCGGGGTCCCCATCTCCTTGACATGATCCTTTTTTTTTTTTTGCCTCCCTTATTTTTGTCATATTCTTACTGGTCTCTCGGCTCTGCTAAACATGAGCAGGTGCACACTAAAAAGTATTGTCTACAGAAGTAAAATCATATATACTACAAAAAAAAACACCCAAAAAACCAAAACAAAACATGGATAAATTAATGTCCTTGTTCTATTGAAATGGACTCTTCTTCTGATTCCAGCTCCTACAACATGGACCCACCTGGACCTGGCCCCGGGTCTAAACCCAGACCTGAACCTGCTCCCAGTTCTGTGTCTCTGAAAAGTGACCAGTCTAAAAAGTTTCCTCCTGACTTTGGAGAAGCTCCTCCCGAAGACCAGAGGTGAGACATTTGAACAGGTCTTTTCACACACACGCGGAGACCAAACTGAGTAGAGCTGTTCCTGTAGGACGCCTCAGTCAGATCTTCTTTGTCATGGTTATGTGGTGATGATCTAAAGCTGGTCCTTGCACAGTGCTGTGTGTTCAAAAAGTCTGGGAGGTTTTTGTTTTCACACCAATCACACATTTCATTCTGTAAATTAATCAAATCAGGGCTGTTCCAATTTAAGGCTATAGTGAACACACCCGGCTGCATACATGGCCACATGAAAACAGAACATGTTTTCTCTTCCTGGCAATGTTTTTAAAAAGCCAATACAATTGGTCAAATTTTTGACCTTATATGGGAAAGTATCTATTATTAATTCTATTATTGTTCCTCAATTTATATATCTATTTATGTCATTACCATCTCCTTCACAAAACTTCTTTAAAACCTATGAACAGAAGATCTTTGACTTTGTTTGGCAAACCAGAGAAGATTCAGAGAGGGGTTTTGTACAATGATTATAACTGTGGGGGTTTTAAACTGCTTAATTTAGAAGCTTTATGTTTCTCTCTAAAAGCATCAATGGTTCAAAAACTTTATTTAAATACAGAGTGGTACACGAGTATTTTGTTGGACAAAAAACACTTACTATGGCAGCAAAAACTGTATCCCTTTTTACAACTGATGCCCTCCCACTTCCTATATGTAGATAATTTGATTGGAAATAGATGTAGCTTTATAAAAGAATGTCTGCATGCATGGTGGCGCTTCCAATTCATAAACCAGAAAAAAGAGACGACATCCTACAACAGATCATATGGTACAATTCAAATATTGTGATAGATAGAAACCTTTCTTTTGGAAAGAAATGTTTGAAAAATGAAAAAGGTAAGATCATGAAATATGAAGAATTTACAAATGTATATGGTAACGTTTGTTCGAGTTACTCGTATAATCAAATAATTACAGCTCTGGGAAGGAAATGGAAGCAACAAATAAATCAAGGGTTTTATAAACTTTCAGTGTGTAAACCATCAACAAAAAAATCTATTTGGATGAAAGGAATAAAAATAAACCAACAAATAAATAAATTATATTTATCATATAACTTATTAAAGACAATTCCTTACAATACATTTAGAAAATGGGAGGACATAATTGACTGCCCTTTACCATGGGAGTGGATTTTTAAATTAATTTACAATACCAATATTGATGTACAAAATAGATTTTTTCAAATCAAAATAATATACATTTTCTGCTGCTACAAAAATGTTAAAATTTGGAAAATATAGATATATGATACTGATGAATGCAGTTTTTAGAGTCGACTGAACATCTGTTTTGGTTATATATATATATATATATATATATATATATATATATATATATATATATTTATTCTGCCATATTCGTATCTCTTTTTGGAGTGAGGCAGAGAAGATGTGTTTAGAGTTGGGTTTGGTTTTCAAGTTGGACTTAGCCTCTGCCTTACTAGGAGATTTTGAAAATAGAAGTGATCCTGTCAATTTAATTATAACCCTAGGAAAACGTTTTATTTTTAAAAGCAAAAAAACAATTCTCACTTAATATTAATTATTTAAAAAAATATATTTATCAGTACTTAACCTGGGAAGGTTACACAACTGAAACAGACAAAGAGAAAAAAAAAAGTATAAAAAGAGATGGGAAGTTCTTAAATACCTGGGAGAAAATTAGTATGTGATATATTTGCTAATATATCTTATAAAACTGATGTCGGTCATAAAGATTTAAAGTAGGGATCTATATAATATTCATATATCTACTATTGGGGACTACTGACACTACTACTACTACTACTACTACTACTACTGCTACTACTACTACTACTACTACTACTATACTACTACTACTACTACTACTACTACTACTACTACTACTACTACTATACTGTCACTACTACTACTGCTACTACTACCAATGATAATGATAATAATAATAATGAAATATTATTGTTGTAATTATTGTAATTAATAGTAGAGATAATAATAGGTATTATGGATGTAATAATAATTAATAATAATAAAAATAGTAATAGTGATGAAAGGTAGTGGAAATAGTAGTAGGAATAATAGTGATAATAATAACAGTAATAATAATTAATAAAAAGAAATGCCTTTAGGGTTATGTTTTTTGAGATTGTGACATATGGTGAAAGATGATGAGGGGAACTGATGATGGTGAAAATAAATATTAGTTTGAGTATAGGGACTAATACATTTAAAAAATTATAATTAAAAAAAAAAAAAAAAAAAAAAAAAAAGGGAAGGAAGAGAGACAAAAGGAACTTCAATTATAAATTGGCCGCAGTGTATCAGTGTTCGGGAGCCTAGCGGTGTATTTATGTTGCACTATCGCATTTATATTGTTTTGACTTTGTGTCGTGTGGGCGGTTGGGGGGAAATGGGGGGGCTTTTTTGTATTGTTGTGGTGTTGTGGTTGTTGCTTTATGTTTTTGTTTTTATGTTGAATATTGCAATTGTTAAACGTTGATGTTTGTTTGTTGTTTTTTTTTTAATGTTATGTTCTGCTGTCTTTAATAAAAAAAAAAAAATAATAATATTTAAAAAAAAAAAAAAAAGCCAATACATTACATTACAACTTTACATACTGTTCTATTAATGTTTTTCAAAATCCCAGCAATGTATTACTGTATTACATAATGTTTATTCAATTTTTTATTTTTTATTTTTTGCTGAAGAGGACAGGTTTTTGAAGGTGACTGGGAGGAAATCACTAAACCCAATCTGGCAACACTGGATGGGCACGAGGAGATTGTGAGGTAACACACAGATGTTCTGCCTCTGTGAAACTGTTTTTGTATTTTGTACTTATTCTCTGTGTCACCTGCCTAGAGAAGAAAGATGGAAGTGATCTTTTTTTGCTATAATCTGACATATTTACACTGTAATTACAGATTTTCATGAATATGCACTGTCCCTATCAAATAAATAAATAAATAAATAAACAAATAAAATAAAAGCTCAAGTGCTGGAAAAGCCCCGTGTCCGTCTCGTGTACTGTCAGGCTTTCATGACAAACCCGATGAATAAATCCACTGTGTGAGCTCTGTGGTGGAGATGCTGGTGAGTCTCAGGTTTAGTGCTGTGTAGGACCACTGCTCTTATGGAAACACTGAGCTGACTTTAGAACCTGTTTTACTCTTGTCTCCTGTCTTATTGTGTTCTTTTATGGACCACAAGTCTGGAATAAATAAATGATGATGCGTTTATTGTTGGACAGGGAGCCAGGCCCAGACGAGCAGCTGGACGCCATATTCAAGGTGAAACAGCAGCTGCAGAAGCTCCACAGGCTCCTGGCCTCAGATTACCCAGAATGCTCCGAGAGTGAGGAGGAGGAGAGCAGAGAGGTTCTGAACATCACCCTGGACTTCCTGAAGAGGATGGACCAGGAACATCTGGCCCAGCGTCTGTTCAAAAGTAAAAACCTCCAGATGCCCTCCCATCCTCCTGTATCCCTGTGTGTCAGATGCCCTCCCGTCCTCCTGTATCCCTGTGTGTCAGATGCCCTCCCATCCTCCTGTATCCCTGTGTGTCAGATGCCCTCCCGTCCTCCTGTATCCCTGTGTGTCAGATGCCCTCCCGTCCTCCTGTATCCCTGTGTGTCAGATGCCCTCCCGTCCTCCTGTATCCCTGTGTGTCAGATGCCCTCCCGTCCTCCTGTATCCCTGTGTGTCAGATGCCCTCCCGTCCTCCTGTATCCCTGTGTGTCAGATGCCCTCCCGTCCTCCTGTATCCCTGTGTGTCAGATGCCCTCCCGTCCTCCTGTATCCCTGTGTGTCAGATTTCCTCCCGTATGAAATATGTGACATGTTTCACATTCTAACTCTTGTGTGTTGTTTAAAGGGAGTAAAGTTGGATTCAGAGATAAACTGAAGTGTGATCTGCAGCAGAGGTTCAGTCGTGTGTTTGAGGGCGTGGCTAAAGCAGGAGACTCCACCCCCCTGACCCAGATCTACACAGAGCTCTACATCACAGAGGGCGGAGCCTCAGAGGTCAACCAGGAACATGAGGTCAGACACATTGAGAGGGTGACCAGGAGACTGACGGCTCCAGAGACCATCACATGTGAAGAGCTCTTTAAACCCCGCCCACATTCACCACAACCAATCAGGACAGTGCTGACGAAGGGCGTGGCCGGCGTGGGGAAAACAGTGCTGACTCAGAAGTTCGGTCTGGACTGGGCTGAAGGTCGGGCCCACCAGGACCTCCAGCTGCTGTTCCCCTTCACTTTCAGAGATCTGAACGTGCTCAGAGACTCACAGTTCAGCCTGGTGGAGCTGCTGCACCACTTCTTCAGTCCATCCAAAGATCTCTGCAGCTTCCAACAGCTCCAGGTGCTCTTCATCTTTGACGGTCTGGACGAGTGCAGACTTCCTCTGGACTTCAGCCGAACCCGGGTCCTGACCGACCCCACAGAGTCCACCTCAGTGCACGTGCTGCTGGTGAACCTCATCAGGGGGAACCTGCTTCCCTCCGCTCTCCTCTGGATAACCACGCGCCCCGCCGCGGCCAATCAGATCCCTACTGAGTGCGTCTCCATGGTGACAGAGGTGCGAGGGTTCACCGACCCGCAGAAGGAGCAGTACTTCAGGAAGAGGTTCAGAGACCAGGCCACGGTCGTCATCTCCCACATCAAGAGCGTCCGCAGCCTCCACATCATGAGCCACCTGCCGATCTTCTGCTGGATCCTCTCCACAGTTCTACAGAAGCTTCTGGAACAAACGGAGGAACCAGAGCTGCCCCGGACTCTCACACAGATGTACGTCCACTTCCTGGTGGTGCAGGCCAAAGTCCAGAACATCAAGTATCACCAGGGATCAGGGGAGGACCTTCACTGGACTCCAGAGATCAGGGAGATGGTGAAGTCTCTGGGAAAACTGGCCTTTGAGCAGCTGCAGAAAGGAAACCTGATCTTCTACGAGAGTGACCTGAGCGAGTGTGGGCTGGACGCTGCAGCGGCCTCAGTGTACTCCGGAGTGTTCACACAGATCTTTAGAGAGGAGCCAGGCCTGTACCAGGACAAGGTCTACTGCTTCATCCATCTGAGTGTGCAGGAGTTTCTGGCAGCTCTTCACGTCCATCAGACCTTCTACAGCTCTGGAGTGAACCTGTTGGAGACACCACACTCCTCTGAGAGAACAAAGTCTGGGTTCAAACGTAAAAGACAAAGAAAATGCACTTTGACGCAAGAAATCTCAGAGACACCAGACTCTGAGGAGTCTGAGGACTATTCAGACACAGAGATCTCCTCTGTCCCCTCCATGACACTAGACCCTGAGACCTTCTACCGCTCTGCTGTGGACCAGACCTTACAGAGTCCAAACGGACACCTGGATCTGTTCCTGCGCTTCCTCCTGGGGCTGTCTCTGCCAAACAATCAGAACCTGCTGCAGGGTCTGCTGACTCACACAGGAAGTGACTGGACCAATCAGGAGACAGTAAAGTTCATCAAACAGAAGCTGGATGAAGAGGGTCTGTCTGCAGAGAGAAGCCTGAACCTGTTCCACTGTCTGAACGAGCTCAACGATGGCAGTCTGGTGAAGCAGATACAGAAGAACATGAGAAGATACCTCTCTGATAGAACCATGTCTCCTGCTGAGTGGTCTGCTCTGTCCTTCGTCTTACTGTCCTCAGACTCAGACCTGGAGGAGTTTGACCTGAGAAAATATCAGGCCTCAGAGACAGCTCTCCTGGGTCTGCTGCCGGTGGTCAGAGCCTCCACCAAAGCCCTGTGAGTCCAGACTGTATTTAAACTCTTGTGTGGAGGTTCTAGTCTCTTGTGTGGAGGTTCTAGTCTCTAATGTCCCTCTCTGTCCTCAGTCTTTGTGGCTGTGGTCTGTCTCCTCACAGCTGTGCTCCTCTGGCCTCAGTCCTCAGCTCCTCCAGTCTCACACATCTGGATCTCACTAACAACGACCTCCAGGACTCAGGAGTGGAGCTGCTGTGTTCTGGACTGAAGAGCGCCCCCTGCAGACTGGAGACGCTCAGGTGAGACGCTCCCATGATGCACTCTGCCCCCTTGTGTCCACATGAGTGTAATGCTGTGTCTTTAGGCTGTCTGGATGTCTGGTCTCAGAGAGGGGCGGGGCTGCTCTGGCCTCAGCTCTGAGCTCCGCCCCCTCCCACCTCAGAGAGTTCGATCTGAGCTACAACCATCCTAGGACCCTCCACTGAGCTCCTGACCGCTCTACAGGACCAGCGCCCCCTGCTGTCTGTCAGGTGAGACTGCACTCTGCTGTCTGTCCATTAGTGTTGTAGCACTAATCAAGACCAAGACCTGTCCAAAACCAGGGCAAGATCAAGACTTTTAAAAGGCCAAGACCGAGATCACAGCCCATTGAGACCAAATGAGTCCATCTTTGTGATTTTCTACATTTATTTGTATTATCTCCGGAAACACTCCCCTTTATCACACCCTCACCCACAAGTTGAGAAGAACTTCTTTAAGCCAACTTCCTCTGGCGCTTCAAAGTGAAGAAAGTGGGCAAGGATGCAACAATATTCGATATAATATCGACTTGTACAATACTGGTATCCAGATTCAATACACACGTTTGTTCGATACACTCATGTCGCTTCCATACACGCATGTCCCCCAGGTCTCTGTGTGTCATTTGTGTTGATCAGTGTTTGTCCAGTTCTGTTTCGTCCTCCTCAGATGCAGAAACAGAAAACAGCTCCATAGAGACTTACAGCTGAAATACTCTAACAGAGGAGGGTTTGATGACAAAGATCATTAGTATCATTATTATAGTGTACTCATTTTACTCATTTGCAGAAAAAATATATTTTTTTCTTCATGCCTTAAAGCAGGAGTGTCAAACTCATTTTGGTCCGGGGGCCGTATCCAACCTACTTTGATCTCAAAGGGGCCGGATCAGAAAACTCATGTCATATATACCCCAAAAATAACAATAACTTCAAATATTTGTGCAGAGAAACACAAATCTATTACAGAAATCTTTTTTAATTGATGAACTCTTTTTTATTATGATATTATGAACAACCTGAAACTTTAAGAAAAATTCAATTTCAACACAAATGTTTTAACATGAACTTGTTTGTAAACAGGAATAAGTCAGTTTTTGTTGTAAAATCCTGCACTCGGCTCCACTTTTCTCATGTTGGACATTTTTCTGATGAGGGTGTCACGGTCAACAGTCAAAACGATCGTCCTTTAAGAGCGTTTGGAAAGAGACAAGTCTTCATTTGTGCTGCTCTGGGGGGAGGGGCCACGTACAGAGACGCTGGAGACGCCACTATGCTGAGCGGTGCAGAAAATTACCAATATTTTAATAGAAAATATAATTAAAATATTTTAGTAGAAAATCACCCAAGGGCCACATTAAAGGTCTTGGAGGGCCGGATCTGGCCCCCGGGCCTTATGTCTGACACCTGTGCCTTAAAGGGATAGTTTGAGTTTTTTGACATGACTCTGTATGTCATCCCCATGAGCAGTGTGGTGCATCCACATTGACTTACCCCCGAACGTGTCCGGTGAACCGAGATCCTGGCCGGTTTTGGTGCTGACGAAAGTCGTCCGACAAGTTGTGCTGGGGACATTATAATAAAGCATTTTTCTTCTCAAAACAACATGTGTTCATAAGAGTGATACATTTGCATCACAAAACCAAACTATCCCTTTAACATATCGAAATCAAATCAAAATCATGACCCGTGTATTGAACGGCATATAGAATCATGGGAAAACTGTATCGTTGCATCTCTAGTAGGAAGCAGTTTTCTGTGCTCCTAACTGGAGTTACATTCTCTAATCTGCAATGATTATATCAGCGTCTACTTTTACTTTTTACTTCTACTTTTTAACCCAACGTTTACTAAACCAAACACACACTGAAACAAACACAAACGGATCTGTGCACTTTTGTGTGTCATATGCCGCAGCCATATGTCGCAGTAGACATGCCCGAGCTGGTTGTGTAAAAAGTCATTATCTCTTCAATAATCCATTGGAGAAGCTCAGTGAGGTTTTGGAACACAGACAAAGGTTTATTCTTGTTACAGTAGATATGGACAGAGCCTAGTCCTGCTCTGGTCAGAGACTAACAGCCTTTAGGCGTCTTCCCCAAGTCCCCTTTTCCTCCCCTCTAGAGCATCTGAGCTCTGAGAAACAAAGGCTTTCCTGGGGGTGGGGACAGTGTTTGCTGAAGCTTTACACATGTTAATAAATGGTCTGGGTCTCAGGTAGAAATCACACTCATTTACACAGATTATGATAGAAACATTTTCTTCACAATATAAATTTCCATCAGTCACATAAGTTTGGATTAGTTTGTGCTTTGCATTTTGTCTTGCGCTTCTAATCAGCCCCTGCTCAAAACCAGTAAAAGTTTATTGCTGACCGCAGCAGCTGTAAAGAAGTACAATCACACTTGTCCAGTGTCAGATCTCGAGTCCGAGACCAGACAAAGACTGGTCTTGATACCACCCCCACCCACTGCCCTCTGCTGTCTGTCAGGTGAGACCGCAATTGTGTTAGTCCTGATCTGGTCTCTGGTCCTGGTCTGGTCTGGTCTCTGGTCTGGTCTGGTCTCTGGTTCTGGTCCTGGTGTGGTCTCTGGTTCTGGTGTGGTCTTGGTGTGGTCCTGGTCTAAACGGCACTTGTGTGTTTCAGGTTGGATCCTGCTGGAGAGCGCTGGATGGTCCCAGGTTTGAGGAAGTGTGAGTTTGTTTTGTTTCCTTCACACAGTAAAGTCCAGACAACAGCTCAGGTCATTCACTCAGGTCCACCCAGTTTTCCTTCATTGGACCAGTTTGGTGAAGTTTATAATTTCACTGGGACATGAGCCGCAGACGTGACATGTAGAGGCGATTCCATAATTGTGACCTAGTGCAGTCAGATCCCAAAGCTGCCGCCAGGTGAGGCCATTCAGAGTTTCAGCCAAAGCCAGCTAACAGTTTTGTAGGCCAAATCGTGAGGTGAGGCCTTACCCTTCCCACTGGCCACTGATGTGCACAGATGAAGCGCACGTAGGACACTATCAGCTGTAGTGTTTGCTGAGTAGAAACCAGGTTGAGGTGAGGCATATATATGGCACAGTTATTTGTGCACGTCCTTAATGATGATCAGCTTTTACACACTTGTTAACCTGGCACCTCCCCTGCGCTTTCATCACAGCTTTGTGAGCATGTAACGATCACATAAATAAAGCAGGTGAAGAGCATGGAGCTTTATGCACAGCATCTTATGGCACTCCATTGGCACAAGAGGCTGCATAGTCGCTTCTCGTGTGCATACTTTAAAATGAATGGCTTTTACATCACAGCACATGTGGGAAGATCACATATGTGGCATCAAGGGGTTGACAATTTGGAATAATAACAGAAATGGTGTTGCAACAACGCCACCCCAAATCTAGTTTGGGGAAATAGAATCTAAGTATAAGGCACACAGGTAAGCATATCAAATGAGAGACCCAGGGCCCATCATTTACTGGGAATTTATTTTACATTTTTAAAGGAAACACGTTTTTTATTTCAATAATGATAGCTACAACATAAAAGTCCTGGATCCAATCACTCACTTGTTTAGTTCATTATAAAACAGTTACCCACGTTTCGCAGTTGGGCACCCAGTCTCCGTGTGGGAGAAACTACTCAAGGCGCAATGATACAGCCAAGCAGAGAAACTACGAAAAACTGAATTGTGTGACAATTTGGACATTTTTGTGAATGGACAGGAGCAGGAGACATTCATTACCTGTCGCCAAAGACCAGGGCACATGAGAACACACTGTGAAGCTCAGCCTGCGAGAGAAAAGCAGTGCCGGGCTCACAGTCAGAAAGAGGCACTAAAAAGATCAGTGATTTAGGAATTTGGATATTTTCATGAATAAGGGCTAAAGGACTGGAATTATACCTGGTCATGGAGGACATAGCGACTTACACAGGGACCCAGAAATGCGTGTGGACAAAAGGGGGAACAACGAGAAAGGAAGCGCTTATAAAAGTTTATAAAGAGGCAGCTGCAGAGCTGCTTCTAGTCGTACACGCACTTTAAGATATGGACTTTTACGCACTTGTTAACCTGGCATCTCCACTGTGCTTTGACTGCAGGGAGGTCAGGCGTATGCGGCCCCTCTCATGTCAACAGAGCAGCGTGCGTAAAGCTCTGTGCTCTCACCAGAGGCAGCCGCATGGGGAGCAGCTCCTCCTACAAATAAACAGCTGACCAACCGAGCACTATAGCCCGTACCGGGACAGAAAGACTGTCTGCAGACAGAATAAGGAAAGCTGGCTGGGCAGTGAATCAATTGAATTATGTGCCCAGAGGCCCACTGCCTCCACTGCCAGGAAGGCAGGAAGCTTTTATGAGGCTTTCTGCTTCCCTGTTTACCTCATCAGTCATTTGATGCAAGAAACTTTCACAGGATCATGAGATACTTTTTACAGCATCACCTGATAGTTTCTCAGGATCACGTGATAATTTCTCTGGATTCTTTTTATTTAAACCCTCACCCCACAGCCCCTGTGGGGCTCCGTAGTAAATGTCACGTGAAGTGTGAAGTACTTTTATGTACTATTTATGACAAGTGCCCTTTACTAAACATTTAGAACAAAATAATGAGATGAAGTATTTGTGTTTCAGACACCTGTGACGTCTCTCTGGACCCAAACTCAGCTCACAGACGTCTGCTTCTGTCTGAGGACCATAGGACTGTGACCCGTGTGGAGGAGGAGCAGGAGTATCCAGATCATAACGACAGGTTCACAAACTGGCCTCAGGTCCTGAGCTGCACTGAACTGAGGGGGCGCTGTTACTGGGAGGTGGACTGGAGCGGGAGGGTTGATGTAGCACTGAGTTACAGCAAGATCAGACGGAGCGAAGGGGGTCTGGAGAGTGCGTTTGGGAACAATGATCAGTCCTGGAGTTTGTGGATCTCTGATGACGGAGAATATTTCGTCTGGCACAACAGTGACACAACACGACTCCATCTCTCACGTCACTCAGAGAGAGAGGGCGTGTCCTCTGGTAAAGGAGGTGTGGCCTGTGGTAAAGGGGACGTGTCCTCGGGCAGAGTGGGCGTGTTCCTGGACTCTGAGGCTGGAGCTTTGTCCTTCTTTGAGGTCTCCTCTGATGGAGAACTGTTCCACATCTGGACCTTCTCCTCGTTCTTCTCTGAGCCTCTGTTTACAGGGTTTGGACTATTGGATGAAGGTTCCTCTGTGACTCTGGTGAAAGAGACGATACTCCCACGATGAGGACACAACAATGAGAACAAAAGACAAAGAGCAGGTCTGACAGTGACTTACTGTCATGGTTCATGTTTTGTTTTGCATAATCCTTGTGTCTTGTTCCTTTAGTTGATGTCCTTGGTGTTTTCATTTGCCCTTTGTCGTGTCTGCTTGTGTTTTGGAGTTGTCCTTCCTGTGTGTTGATGGTTTGTTGTGCCTTCATGTGTTTCTCCTGTGTCTTCCTCTGGACTTTCATTTGTGGCTCTAATGTCCGTATCAATGTTGGATTTTTGGCAATTCTTTGTTATATTAAAGACCGTTAAGAGCAGCCATGCATTTTTGCTCTTCACTCTGTTTCACCATGAAAGACACATACATACACACATACAGCTCCTTTAAAGGCCGCACACTTTTTATCTCCACACTCATGATAGAATAAATACTAAAAGATCACACGACAGACAGCAAGTTGTGGGTGGATATTTCTTATTCTGTAAAGCACTTTTACTTGTACTTTTACTATACAAATAAACTTGCCTCGCTGACAACATGATAAAAACTTTATGAGTGTTGTAAATCATAGTTACCTAATGTAATTGTAGTTCTTTGAGTATGTGTGTACGACTGCGCCGTGTCACATGACCAAATCAAATGTAATAAACATCAACGCTTCTACAAATATAAAGTCACAGGTTTTAAAACGTGAATAAAAAAGGCTGAGTGAATCTTCTGTTACTGAGTTATTTAGGCTGAGATTAGCCCAAATAAATTAAATAAATTCACAGGTTGAAACATTTTAGGATGATCGGATAATTGTATTCCCAATCCCCTTCTTTAAAAGATTCTGCTGCGTTTGTCCTGATTTAAATAAACTGATCTGATAATCTGCAGCAGTGTGGCTAAAACAACAAAATATTAATGTTTTTATTGTATTAAAATGCATTTCACTGCTTAAATAAAGTTTGTAAAAATTGAGGTTGGTGTGCACTGTGGGCAATTTGCAGCTCCGAGGCGGCCCGGGATCCACAGGTGCATCCTGGGTAAAAGAGCCACATCACAACTCACAGAGGTCAGACCCAGACCCACACTCACAGAGGTCACAGAATACACACCTCCTACAGCGCCTGGAAGTGTCTGAAAACTCCACAAATAAAAACTTTGACCAACCCTCAAATGAGAAAGCACAGAAACTCGGCACTTTTTAATGAACTTTATTGACACATTTTGGTGCCTTGTTTAAATTTTTTTAAATCCAAATTTTCTTTTTAAACTTTGAACCGATGAATATTTGTGTCTGAAATAAAGAATGAATCAAATCAAATAAATAAAAACAACAGATGAAGCCACGTCTGAGGGAAAGATGCAGTCCCGTTACGCACCAGCAGATGGCAGTGTCACCACACATTCGCACTGTTTTCACTCGACACCTGCACGATTTTCTCAGCAGCACCACGTGGATCTCACTGGAACGTAGGTCTAAATTAAAGTTAGATCCAGACCCACAGAGGTCAGACCCAGACCGCACTCACAGAGGTGAACATTTTGGATGTTTGGTGTGGACTTTTATTGGCAGAATAACGTGTATCTGATGTGTTTCGTGCTAAATCTGTGTCCACGTATCGCTCCCTTGCTCCTTTTGCTCTCCAGGGGAGGTGTTAGGTTTATCTAAACATTATAAACAAGAAGAAAGACAAGAGATTAATTCAGTTTTACTCATGAGGAGAACGGGCAGAGAGTGGGCATCAAAACCAACAGTCTCCACACGTTCTGATGACTCAAGGCCTGTTCTCCTCTTTTTATTTCATTAGGAGGCCCTAGTTACAGAATGATAATTCTCAAGGGGAAGGGGAAACCAGCAAAGACATAATAAGAAACTGGTGCAGCTAAGCATAGTATAAACACATAAAACATGATTAACAATCAGGAGGTGCCTTAGGTCAGACACCATCATAACTCTTCATGTGTGACAGTGGGAGTTGGCTTCATGTGAGGAATCATCTGGAGGTTCACTAGAGCGATAGGACACTGCACACAGTTGTCAAACACACAGAGGTTATTCAACAAGTGACAAGTGATTGGTACATTATAAATCAAAGAATTGTAGTACATAAATGGTTAACTCATAGGCCTAGAATATCACACAAGTATTTAGCAAATATGGGATAATAAAATTATTCTGACAGGAGGGCATCTGAATCTTTCACACGGGCTCATATTTTGACCATTCAGATCACCACATGTGCACTTCTAGTGTAAGTGCATTAACACGGCCACTCCACACACACATCATAGGCAGACTTAAAAATATAATGATTAAACTCTTGAAACAGCAAGAAAACAATTTGTTTTTTTTACTGCAAAGATGTGCTACCAAAATATTATGAAATATTATTAAATGAAAAGATGAATCGTTGTTGTCACTTTTACTTTTGTGTTTATTTCTTAAACCTTGTTTAAGTCTTTGCTGCGTGGAGCGTCCCCCTCCCTCTGTCCCACGTGTCTCGGTCAAACCCACTGATTATCGGCTCATGTTTAGGGAACATTCACCAGTCACTTTACATGCTCCTTTTATGGTGAGGTGGAGGTGTGGAGAGGGCGTGACTTGGGTTTACCTGTTCTGTTTCTAGCTGCAGGTGGGATCTATAAAGACAACTCCTTTGCAGTTTTTTTTTATATATATATAAATGATGCCCCAGGGGAAGGGTCAGGTGAGGGAACTAGCAAAATCTATTAATAAACTGAAAAATCTAATAAACTGACAGATTGTAGCTTTAAAATGTAGTTATTATAAGAGCAGTAATAACAGAAGTAATATCAGAAATACTAGTGTTTTTGGTGAACAGCTGCTGGCATCGTCTAACCAGATTTGAGGAAAGTAGTATGAGCATTATTAACAGCAGTCGCAGTAAAACAGTTTTCTATCCAAAAACGCCCCTGAGGAGGTTGAACAGCTCCAGGTTCTCTTTAGAATATTCGGCGAGGGGCGTGCATCTCATCATGGTGTGGTCCGGAGTGTAGCAGTACTGAGCCTCCAGCACAAACCGGTCCGACAAAGGCCTGTCACGACCCAGACAGGCCGCCAGGTGGAGCCGCGCCTTCAGTCCGGAGAACAGCAGGGCCAGAGACAGCGCCAGGGTCACCACGTGGAAGGGCATCTGGAGCGCTGCACACAGGAGCACTTCGGTCAACCACTAACACCAACAAATCCAGAACCTCCTTCCTCTTCTGTTACAACATTGACTTAAAGCTGCACTGTGCAATTTTTCTAATAAAGGGTCTGCTACCTGCTTGTCTCCATGGAGATGTTATTGCTTTGCCTGGAAAACATGCATCGCGAATTTCGGACTTCCAATCATCGTGCAATTCATACTGGGAAGGATCATCCGAAAAAGTGAGCATCAAACTGCCCAGTGGGATTTTGTCTATTGTCAAAGTCGATCTTTTCAAGTCTTTTGAACCATATCACTTTTGTTTCTGGTTCTGATATTGTCATGTTTTAGTTTTGGGATCCGGACATCGTTAATTGTGTGGTTGTTGGATCCAAACAGCGGAAAACGACTCGAGAAATTTGTTTGCGAACTTCATAAATGTAAAAGTGAATCAGATGTGTGTGACTCAAACCTCTGTTCAAACTGTTTCTCTTCCCAACGGAATTGAAAAATAGTGAAAGGTGAAGGTGATGGGCAGGATTGATCCACAGGAAGAACCAAAAAGGAAACCTTGGAGCAATAACAAAGCAAAATCCCGTTTGTTAATGGAGAGGAGCAGAAGACAAACAGACTGAGCTGCACTTTCTTGTTCTTGTGGTTTTACAGAAACATCACGTCTTGGTCTATTTGCAGTGGAAGGTGTTTCTTGGTGAACAGCTGGAGCCTTTCACTTTGGCGTTGACTTTTTAAATTCGTAACCGAGGTTGAGCGAAGGATCAGGATTTTGTTTTGTTGTCGCTCCACATACAAAATGTTCTCTGTAAACTCGGGATGATTTCTTAGTCAGTCAAATGTTTCGTTTTTGGTTCTTCCTGTGGATCAATCCTGCCCATCACCTTCACCTTTCACTATTTTTCAATTCCGTTGGGAAGAGAAACAGTTTGAACGGAAGGTTTGCAGTCACACACATCTGCAACGGCACTGAAAACTCTCTATGATAATGCTCTTGTTGCAGATGCACCTTGTGTGTGTGTGTGTGTGTGTAGTGTGTGTAGTGTGTGTGTGTGTGTGTGTGTGTGTGTAGTGTGTGTAGTGTGTGTAGTGTGTGTAGTGTGTGTAGTGTGTGTAGTGTGTGTAGTGTGTGTGTGTGTGTGTAGTGTGTGTAGTGTGTGTAGTGTGTGTGTAGTGAGAGAAGTAACATTTGACTTTGGAACAAGTGCCGCTGCATCTCTCCAGCTCTCACTGTGGCAGGTCGGGTCAGAGTCCTGCACCAGGTCGAGTCGGAGTCCTGCACCAGGTCGAGTCGGAGTCCTGCACCAGGTCGAGTCGGAGTCCTGCACCAGGTCGAGTCAGAGTCCTGCACCAGGTCGGGTCAGAGTCCTGCTCACCAGGTTGGCTACCTGCGGACTTAAGAGAGAGAACCCCGAGCACGCGGAGCAGGTGTCTGTAAACGCGATCGGGCGACGGCCGCACTTACCTCCGAGTAAACCTTCAAGTGATCGCAGGTCTGCTGGTGCAGATGTGTGTGACTGCAAACCTCCGTTCAAACTGTTTCTCTTCCCAACGGAATTGAAAAATCGTGAAAGGTGAAGGTGATGGGCAGGATTGATCCACAGGAAGAACCAAAAAGGAAACATTTGACTGACTAAGAAATCATCCCGAGTTTACAGTGAACATTTTGTATGTGGAGCGACAACAAAACAAAATCCTGATCCTTCACTCAATCTCAGTTACGAATTTAAAAAGTCGACGCCAAAGTGAAAGTCTTCAACTGTTCACCAAGAAACACCTTCCACTGCAAAGACCAAGACGTGATGTTTCTGTAAAACCACAAGAACAAGAAAGTGCAGCTCAGTCTGTTTGTCTTCTGCTCCTCTACATTAACAAACGAGATTTTGTTTTGTTGGTCTTTTCACCTGCGGTCACCTGAAGGTCCACTCGGGCGCACCTCCAGGCCCATCCCGACAGTGAGTCCTGGTTCAGTTCTGGTTTAGTCCTGTTTTAGTCCTGTTTTAGTCCTAGTTCCTCCTGGAAGTCGTGGTGTGGGTCTCTAAAAATGGACTCGTGCAGGACTCTGGTTTGGTGCAGTGATCGTGGTGGCCCAGCATCAGTGTCGGGGAGTAACAGATTACATGTACTGGAGTTAAGTAATCAGAGTACAAATTATGAGTAACTGTATTCAGTTACAGTTACTGTTTCAGTGAGTGGTATTTGGATTACAGTTACTTTGTTGAAATAAATGGATTACACAGAGGGATTTTACTGTTTTCACATTTTGAGCTAAACCCCCCCCCCCCCAAGGTCTAAACCAGCTATAAACTAGGACTAAACCAGGACTAAACCAGGTCTAAAACCAGGTCTAAACTAGGACTAAACCAAGTCTAAAACCAGGTCTAAACCAGGTATAAAC